GGGGGGGGGGGGGGGGGGGGGAGTTTAACGTAGCCTCTTTCCCTTCCCCCTCCCCCTAGCCTCCCTAGAAAATTCTTAAAATTTTACTCTATTTGCTCTATTTTTCGGATGAAATCTAATGGAACGTAACGTCTTGAAAAACTGTATTTTTATTTCTTTCTCTCTTATTTATGATTTCGTTTACTCAACTTGTTTCGAATGTTATTGAGCATTGGAGGACGGCTCCTTACTCATAACTCCTAATTTTGCCACTTATCTGAGGTATTATAGTCTTCATTCTACAGCATTTAAAATTTTTTGAGTTACTTAAATTTCCCCCCAAAAAAGGCTTTCTGCATTTAAAACATGATTGAGAATTGTCTAATTCATCACCAATTAGATCCAAGTGAGCGAAATTTTAGAGAACATAAAGGCATTTTGCTCCGGAGGAACAATTACAACCGCGACGGAAAGAGGGAACAAGATAGCGCATCGGAGGCAGAAGCAGCGCGCTGCGGTGACGGGCCAAGAGGTGGCCAAGAGAAGCGAGCTGCGATCGCGCAGCGAAGGGCTCGGACTCGGATCGTACCGCGCTCCCCGCCTGCCTTGATTCCGCCGCCGAGCAGTGGCTCTCCGCTCAGCTGATCGCAAACGATTCTCCAGCGCATGAGTTGGCCCGTGTTCAGGCCGCGCAGCGCGCTGCGCCACCTCCATCCGCTCTGCCGCTTTCCTACTTTGGTGGCTCTATACGTATTTCTGTCTCCCTCTCTTTCTGTTTTAATGCAATTTACATACTTACTGAACGCATTTTATAAATTATATTTGCTAAAATGTAAAACATTTAATAGGTGTACTTTTCTTCTTTCTTTTGAAATCTTTGGGCAAGCAGTGCTTGCCTTGCTTATCCGGACCGCACGCCACTGCACAGGGTGAACGAGCCGGCCCGCAGCACTCATGCAACTTTTGAACGAATGGAAATAGACTCTTGAAATGTTGACTGTGCCCATGAGCTACAGGAAACTGTTTCTGGGACCTTTCAAAAATTTGGAGGGGCCAACCCGAGGGTGACAACGGCGGCACGAGCCCTAACTTTTTTTCTTTTTTTTTTAATGACAACATCCCACTTCACTGGAAAGAAAAACACATTGGATCTAGAGTCCAGACTCTTGAAAACATTGACAAGGAAAAATACTCTTGATTCAATCGGATTTTTGCTTGAATCAAAACGAAATCCGCTTAAATTAAGAGGCTTGGTTCTTGATTGAAGCTCAAGCTAGATTCTGATTGAATCAAGAATACCTTTTCTTGTCGATGTTGTTAAAGAGTCTGGACTCTAGATCCAGTGTGTGTTTTTTTTCCAATGTTGTGACGCATCATCAATAAGAACGTAAAACAAGCGGAATTCGGTTCATATTGAATGTCTCCATCTATCACCATTTCAAAATGACGATTCATTAAAGTTTTTCAAAGTGCAAATTTATCGGGCCACCATCCTGGATCATTGACAGTTGTTAGCGACCTCTGGGTTTTCGCTGAAAAATTTAGTTTTTTTACTGTTTACAATGACATATCCTTGACCATAATAACATTTAGGAAGGCTAGTCCTAAGTCGATTTTTTCGCCGACCGTCATTGCGTATTACTGCATTGGAAATAATAAAAAGCGATTTTTGTAAAGCAAAAATCAAAGGCCGCTATTACTAAAATTTTGGTTAGGGAACGTGCATCAGAATTTTGAATTCGCACCTTGTCTAGTGGTCCATTTCCTCCAAGGTTTATTATTTCTCATACAAGGGAACCGAGTGGAATGCCTCTCTGATTTTGGCTGATATTCTTTAGTCAAGAAATAAATCTCGGTAGGAAATTAAGGCAATGTCCAGTGTAGTAAGGCTACTCAGTTTCTCTGTTGCCAAGTTTTCATTTAAAATACTCTACTGCCACTATCAGCACCGTGTGATTATCATCCAGACAGCGTCAAGAATTTTGCATATTTTTTTTACGGTAGGAGGTGACGCTGCTGGACAACGGGTGGGTAAGAGGTGTTATTATTTGCATTCGGGGATTAGGATGCCTTACTGAGATTAGATAACATTGAAGAGGATCGCAGGAATCCTGTCCCAAGTCACGCGTTGATCTGGTCGTCGACAAGTCTCACGTCATCACGGCCACAAAAGCTTAACTATACCAAAACGGGAATCTTATTTTCGGTTTTGCGTCGTCGGTAGCCCGCGATGATTCCGTCTCGTCCGAAGTTGCATTCGCGGTGGCAGTGACAGTGGTTTGGTTTTGTGATATCCAGATGGAATTTCATTCGGGCTATAAACTTTTTCAGTCGCGAGGGCCGAAATCGCACCTAGGATGTGAGTAGCTATCGCTTTTATGTTTTCTTTTTTTTCACACCAAACCTAGCCATCGACCATTTAGACTAGATCTGGTTTTTCTAATGATCATTTCGATCTCTCTACCTTTTCGTACGACGTGCTGAACGTTTAGGGATCTAAATCGGAAATTTCTCGTCCTGGAAACGAGAACACTCTCGGAAAAGTTCCCGGCAATCCCTCGGTCAAAGTCAGTTTCTCGGGAAACTTAAATACTCACGCACACACTCAAGTGGTATTTATCTACACTTTGAAGAGCCACTGGGAACGTCCCCGGGAAATTTACCGTTCCCGGCCCTTGACTTTCCCGGGAAACTTTTGGTCCTACCTTCACCGCGGAGCCGAAATTTTTACCATTACAGAGACTGAGACCTCTTTCCAGACTCACTTACTCCTGCTACTACGGACCAGTTGCGTGGTTTTTCCTTTTTTTATTCATTTTTTTTTTCATTTTTTTAAAAAGAAAAATACTTCTTTAGAAAGTACCTGAAAAATCAAAACGCTTGCATTTTCCTGTTTTTTCTTTAATCAAATAGCTGAGAAAACGACTCTCAAAGTCACCAAAAATCTAGCCGCATTTCCAATGGAAAAATATTCGCGCCAACAGATTGCGCGTCGTCACTTAAAGAATCGACTGCTGTGTATCCCCTTTCACCTGGGTTTGTTTATTTACTTACTTTCCGGTCGCAAATGTAACGAGACGTAATGTACACGGACTGTGCTCGTGATAGCATGATTGATTGAAGGTTTGAAGTTTAAAGTTGAGAATTTTTGCGGGCTTTTTTCCCCGCATGAAACCCTCTGCGCGTGACCAGTGGCGTGGCGTGTTTTACGATGCATCGATTGATCTGCCTTTTAAACCTATGAAAAATGATCGATAAACAGGGTGTTCGCAACGAACACCTTAATAATCGATCTTTTACCATGGCTTCAAATGGGGAGATATCGATAATCGATCATACACGCCTCGCCTCTGCGTGTGACGTAAATCGCACGGCAGACGCTGGATTCATAGTGGTTAAAACCCTATGGTGTTACAAGCTTCAAGCCAATGAGAAACGTGCGTTGTGTTACCGTCACTATCCGCTTCGGTTTTTTGAAAATATTTGACCTTTTTTTCTCTTTTTTTAAAAATGAAATAATTTTTTTGTAATTTGAGTCGCACAGCGGTCATGTTACATTGGATTCACGGTGTTAGAAACCACGAGTGTTGACTTCGTAAGAACGTCGGAAGCTGTAGGTTTATGAGTAACATCCTTTCTGTCACTGCAACTTGAAACCTCTTCTGTTCTCAGTCAAACATGCTGATTTGAGCTATTTTGAACCCGAAAACGCGTTTCTCGCTACAATTTACGCTGAATACTTATTTTTCCAGGCAGTTCCTAGAATGTGTTTATCAGCCCTATTAAGAGCACGTACACTGAGAAAAAAACTCCGGCCGTGGAAGCCGTACTTACGGGCTATACAGACATACCGTCCGAGCGCCGGGCTCAGAGGCCGAAAGTTTCGGGCGTAGGACCCGGAGCAATTGAAGCTACGGCTCCAGCACCCAGAACTTTCGGCCTCTGAGCCCGGAACGGACGGTATGTCTCTGTAGCCCGTAACTTTTTTTTCAATGTAGGGCCCATCACTATCTCTCTAACATTCGTCGTTTGCATCTTTAGATCATGGTAGCAATCCTGATTGTTGCAAATCTAAAATCATGCATTTTATCGTGCTTAACAGTGATACAGCGCTGAAGGCTGAACACTTTTGCAAATCATGGGCTTCTGTCAGGCAGCAGACAATAAACCATGGCAATTTTTGATTATAATCTGTGTGGTCATATTAGCGGTTATAAATTTATTTATAGTCACGATTTTTCGTAACCTGGTCATTAATTTTTGCCTTTGTTTCCCTTTGTTGCAGATGAGCGCGACGCCATCCAAAAGAAGACATTCACCAAATGGGTGAACAAACATCTGAAAAAGGTAAGCTAGCTTCTTCCTAAATTCATATTCCCAACGGATTATCGATATTTCTCCATTTGAAGCTATGGTAAAGAATCGATTATTATGATGTGCGTTGCTAACACCCTGTATTTCGATCCTTTTCCATAGGTTTAAATTGCAGATCGATCGATAAATCGGGAAGCATACTGATTCCCAATACATGTGCCCTCATTAGATTTAAATGTAGGAAGACGTGGATAAGCCGAATACTTCCAAGTTCAACTAAAGATTGAGGGAATATGATCGTTTTGTCTTAGTCAATTCAATATTTCCGCTCTCGAATAAATCATCAAGTCTACGCGAGTAAAATCGGGTATCAAACCAATTTTGGCAGGATATGGAAGTAGAACTTAATAATTTTCCGTGGGTGCCAATTTGTTTTCGACAAGTTTACGAGCTCTGTGTTAAAGGCCGTACAAGAATGGCACATCACACTTGAAGAGTGGCTGCGTCAGACGTCTTCATAACAATAGCGCTGAAATGAGGGAGGACAAAAATGGAGAAAAAAGTTGAAAATTAAACGATGAGTATGCATCGGGGCTCCCCGGTAACCCTGGTAAAAATTGGCGATAAGAGCTGCGTTTCAAAATACCATAGGAATTCTTATAGCCGGCTAAAAAAGGCTACAGAAAATCATATACTTAGCTGGCTGTAGAATGCGGAGAAAATCATACGGCCGGGCTATACGAAGCGATAAAAAATTATGCAGCCGGGCTATAGTTCCTATCGCCGGGCTTTACTCTTTACCGCCTGGCTGTTGCTTTTTCGCCATCGATTATAAAAGGCTTCAAGAAATTGTGTAGAAATTCGTGTGCTTTGGAAATCATCATTAAGTTTGATACGGAACCACCTTAATGTTTACAAAACACACATTATATTCCCCTTTAATACATATTTTTTTTCATCAATTAAAATGAGGATAATCCATACAGGATGTGCAGAAAGTTCAAAATCATGAGTTGAATAACGCTGACTCCGCCAGATTAAATATTAGAGCCTAACACAAAGCGGAGCGGCGACGCTCTGGCGCCTACAAACCTAACAGGGATACTTCACTCATTGCGCAACGCGTGAAGTATCCCTGTTAGGTTTGTAATGCGCGTTTCGCGCTGGCTGCCCGCCTGCCGCACCGCAGCGTGCCACGGCGCTTGAAGCAACTATTTCACTTTAGAGGTATTGCACAGTGTCATACGAAACTGAAGGCGCTCTAATATAATAATAATGGCAGGCCTCCATCAAAAGTACGGAGCTTTCCTCGCAAAATAAATCATGATATTACGGCCCAAAAAGAGAACAGTATTCCAAAAACTCACCAAGTCCTCGCATCCGTAATTAGTAACATTTAGCATACACTTTAGCGCCTGGCTGTTGCTTACTTGCCATCGGCTACAAAAGGCTATAAGAAATTGTGTAGCCGGCTATAGAAGCTATTGGAAATCTTACAGCCGGCTGTAGGTCTATGGTATTTTGGAACACAGATTCTACTGCCAATTTTTCCCAGGGAAACTCGAGACTTATCGCAGGGCTAGACGAGAAATGTCACCGGATTTAGGCCTCTCCGATGATCCGTTATGATTCCTGAAAGTATGGATGTAAAAGCTCTTGCGGCCATTTCCTATGGAAAATGAGACAGCCTTTTTCGAGGAAATTCCGAGATTAGCTAGATTCTGGGCAAAGTTCCGATGTTTTGAAAAGTTCCGAATTTCAGAATCAATTCCGGGAAATGGCAGCACTGGAGGGAATAAAATCTAGGAACCGTCCTTATCATCGCGTCCCAGTCAAAAAATCTGGGAAGCTCAACTTGCTAGGTAGGTCGTTGACTTGACCTTGTCGTAAATTCGATACTGCCGGACAAGTTGGGCAACTCCGAATGTGCGTGTAAGCAAGGTAATTAGCTGCTCTATGTTAATGAAATCATTCGGGGAAGGCTGAGCACAGAGCACTCGGACTAGGACGCCGGCCGCGAGGGAACCACGCCACGCATGATTGCAGCAGTGCATTTTTCTAATGGGGCGCATTGTTCAGCGAAC